GTGTATAAAAAATTATTTTTGCCTTCCGTGGGGCTGGGTAAGGGTTCTTTCTCTCTCTGAGAAAGAGTAATTCCTTCCCATTGTTCTCTCTTTTTTTTTTTTTTTTATTTGCCTCATCACATGCTTTTTTACTTCCTATCACGCTCGCGGCGCATTTTTACTCTTGTGTATGTATGCCGCCTGCATATGCGTACGTGTGTATCTTGACGTATGCCCATTTAAATGTATACCCTCGTGCACACCCACCTACACGTACACTTTTTTTTTTTTTTCTAACCTTTGCCGCCACCTATGCCGGACAACACGCGCCTTTGAGAGGAAATTTGCGAGGCGCAATTCCCCTCATTACCTCTACATATATTATTTATTTTTTTTTTTAATGTACCATCTTCATTGGATATGCTTATCCAATTTGCATCCCTGACGAAAATGCAGCCGCATTTTTTAGTATCCTCGTCAATATTCACCACACAGAGCGTTCCGCATATGCTCCAAATTAATGTGGGTGCACGTTACATATGCATGTAACTTTTATATGTACCCGTTTGGGAAAAAAAAAAATCTCCACATGCGGAAGCTTGTGGACCCCGTTCTTAGCAAATATTTATGCATGCGCATATATTTATATATGTATGCATACCTTTGTCTGTCGCTTCAATCCGTACGTTTATTATGTCCAAGCCTTCGTCTATGCGTGTGCCGGTTATCCCGCCAGTACGAACGTCCGTCAATGTGCTTACCCGATCTGCGCCAATCGCAAAGGAACACGCGTCAGCGCAAAACCAATCTAGGGCTAAGTTTATAAGTGGCCACACCACCCTTGTCGCTTGGCAAATCGTATTATCGGCACTTTGCGAATGGTTCCCAAATTTAAATTTGGCAACCCCGTTCACTCTTACGTCGTTGTTATAATTATTTCTTATGTTCACTTCAGCATTACCCTTGTTATTTTAGTATTTTTTATTTTTCTCTTTTGCAACCTTTCGCGCCATGTTGTAGATGAATTAATTGTACAACCGGTAGCAGATCTGTGCGAAATGTCTCCTCCTCCCGTTCTAGCCGTAAGCAGATAAGGACACTTCATCAATTACCTACATATGTTCATGTGCATATGCTCGCATTGTGTACACATAAACATATGCTCAAGTGGACACCCTGTTAGTAAATTGCGCCTGTATATGTATGTAGACTTGTGAGTACAAATATTTGCTTGCTTTTTTTTTTTTTTTTTCCCGTCATGTCCCTTTTTACGTGCGTCCACCCGGGTTTGCACCACGCAAGTATATTTTAATTTATTACTTAACTCGAGTAGCTATATATATTTTTTTTTCCGCTTGCAACTCAAGAGCGTCTCCAAGGACGCTTTTGAAGGAATTCACGGAAGTTCCTGTCCCGCACTTCCGTTTGTTTAATTGTTTGTTTACCTCCCAGTTGTATGCAACCCCCGTTTTTTACCCTCATCCGTGCCCTGCGTGCGTGCGCATAACCGGGCTAATCGATAACGACCTTCTCATTATGTACAAGAAATACAAAGAGGGGGAGACCTTTTCCCGCAGCCGAGTTTTTTTCCCCCGTGTATATGTGTGCCACATGGAGTAACCGATGTCGCGTCGCACTCGTACACACGTAGATGCCGCGACGCTCCAGGTGATAATTTACCCGCACATACGTTATACAAATGTACCCTGAACATGGCGTAAACCTATTGCCCGTACACTGCTTCCCCATTAACCCAGTGCATTAAAAAAAAAAAAAAAAAA